TCTCTCTCTCTCTCTCTCTCACACACACACACACACACACTTTCTCAGCCCTCAAAAAAGTGAGGGAATCTTAATTGCTTAGTGATGTGGACTGTTGTCTTTCCAGAGAGCTGCATGGATATTCTAATGGTCGGCTATGCAGCCATATCTATTCCAAGGGAGAGATCCCAAAAGGGGCCCGGTCCCTCTCCCTATCTGTATAGAAATTCACACAAGATGGGTCAGAGCAGCTGGCCTACAGTACTATATAAATGGGACACACCAGCAAGGCCGAGCCCTGGAACTTCCTCGCCCCTAAGAAGCTATCTTTTCCTGCCACTTTCCTTGCTGCATGAGAAAGGAGGCTAGCTAGTGTGCACCTGCCTAGGGAGTTCCTGTTATCAGAGGCAGGCACATGCCTTTTGCCCAAGTCACTGAGATGAACGGGTGGCCAGGACTCAGCCCCAGGCCTACTGCAGGCCTGTAGGAATTGGCTCTCACTGGGTGAGCGGGGCTTAAAGCACCCATCCCCCAGATGAGTTTGCTTATGGCCAGGATTCCTGTCCACAAGCTGAACTGAGGTTTTACAGTTTTAGAAAGACTCAATCACACATCCAAAGCCCACACACATCAGGAGGCTGGGGTGAGGGGGCTGCGGGTCTCTCTGAGCAGTTGGCTGCAAAACAGGAGAACGGGAGTGGATGTCCTCATTCTGCTCTGGGGACCGGGCCCAGGAGGTTAAGAGAGCACCATGCTGCTTCCATCTGGGTGGACAACACCGATGGGCTGTCCTCTGGTGGTCACCTCTTTCTACATGACCCCTCCCATTTTCTGCAGACAGACTCAACAGGGTCTCTCTCTCTCTCTCTCTCTCTCTCTCTCTCTCTCTCTCTCTCTCTCTCTCTCTCTCTCTCTCTCCACTGTCCCAAATCCCTCTTGGTAATATTGCACTTTTCCTGTCTCAGATTGTTTTTGTTTTCCATTGAGAATGCAAAGTCTTTGGAGGGGACAGGGGACATGAGTAGCCTGAAAGAAATTATATATTAGTCAAACCCAGGAAAAGTCGGGGTGATTTCACCTGGTCCCCCCTTCCTAAAAACAGAACACTACAACTTAAATAACTCTACGTCTACTCTGCAAGTACTAGTCATATGAAAATAACGTTTGACTGAAATTCCCTCGTCTTTTTTCCTTAGATGACAGATGCCGTAACATGCCTTGCTGAGGAAGCGAAGGGTATACATGCCAGTAAAATACTCTCTAACATCTCAAAGTGCCTACGAGGGCTCTATATAATGCCTTCGTCCATTAGGAGTGAGAAAGAGAAACCCTTGGGGCCAGGCTGGGGGTAAGGGGGTGAGGCCTTTGCAGACAGAATCCCAGTTGTGAAGGGAGCCCTGGGGGGCAAACAGAATCCTCTGCTGATGGATACTGCACCGCCAGCTCCCTCCTGCTCCTCCACTGTGAGAGCACAGAGCAGCCAGGCAGGGTAGCCAGGCCTGCTACTGACATACAAGGATAAGGTTTGAAGACTCCACCCCTGTGATACAAGAAAAGGGTCTTTAAACTGAAAGAAAAAGCACCAAACGATGCATCTTCGGGCATTATATAAACCTCAATAATGACCTCAGAAGGGCTCATTACCATTAAAGTTGCAGTATACAGCAATACAATGTCATTTCACATTTTCAATCATAACTAATGGAAAACTAGGTTTGGACATTTCTGAGATTCCACTTCTTTTTTTTTTTTTCCTTTTAGTCCGATCTGGTTTTCTTCCAGATGGGCCAGAGCCCCAGGCCCTTCCCTCCGCTGCTGCCACAGTCCGTCCAATATCACAAAGCAGCTCGTTAGCTCTAGGGAAAGGCCTTCTTGCCTGGGCAGGGCTAGGATCCAGGGACACAAGGCCTGGCATCCCTTGGCCATGACTGGGAAGGCCTGGCATGCACCCTTCTTGTTTCAAGTATTCTTTGGGCTTGCAGGGTTTGTGCTGTGCCCTGATGGGTTGTTGGTGAGGGACCTTGGCTATTACTATTCGTTGCCCAAGTCTACGTCCTGACACTAGGTGGCAACATTCCCCACTTGTCCCAGATGCCTGAGCAACTCCCAGCCATCCCTGGGGCTGGATGTTACAATGTAAACACAATGACCACACAATAAACTAGAGGGGAAGGGGAAGAACACAGTATTAATGCAGTGTAGGAACCTGCCATTAGTTGGGCAATTTGGGGAAAGCCATTTCCTGTCCTTGGGCTAAAGTAACGAATGGAGTGACCTCTAAGGTCCCCCCCCCCCAGCCCCACTTTTAAGGATCTATGATTTCAGGACACGGTGGGGTGGGGGGGATTGTGAGAGGGTCTTTGGGATGTGGCAAGGACAGGGGAGGTGGGAAAGGCTGGCTCTGGGGATCCCGGTGGTCCAGTCCAACTGAGATGCTCTGTGCCTGGCGGGCTAGCGCACTATTCATGGAGCTGGCTCAAAGCAGACATCGGAGGAGTGAGGCTATGGGCCCTCCCCCTGGCAGACAGCTACGTGGAAGGTCCTCTCACCTGATGGCCGCTCTACTTTAAATTTTATTTTAAATAGTCATAAATTATTTTCTCCTCTTTTAATAAATATGTGCTGTTTTAAAAATGAGAAGAGTATATACTGCATCTTTAAAGTAATGCACTTTGCTCTCCGGGTTTCTTTCCACTCCACCTTATTTAAAGTGCATTAATTAAGAAATAATGAACCACTTCTTTATCATTATTGTTCAAATAAGTACAAATAATATCATGAAGACACTACACCACTACCATTAGTACTGCAATCTAGCAGATTAACTCAACACCCCGTTCTATTTAATACTGTCCAGCAGAAGAAAATAACTAATTTCAATTTTAAACAAACTCATGAACACAGAAAAGGAAATGGAACAATGTCACCCACCACAGGCTTTTGACAGAGGAGGCTAGCGGTTTGTATCCGCCTGTGGGAAGAACATGGGCTTAGGGATCCAGGAGGTATGGGGTGGGAGCTGAGGCAGACCTGCCTGGGAGGAGGGGGAGGGGCGTTCTTCCTCCCGTGTCTGTTGGAACCAGCAGCTCTTGGTCGGGGGAGATGCTGGCAGCTCAGCCACAGGCTGTGAGGCAGGATCTATCCCAAATCAAAGGCACATGTGGCATCCACTCCCGGCATGAGGGGAGTCCTTGAAGGACGCTGCTGGGCTTCTGTCCAGAGGGTCCCCTCTGAAATGTCAACCGTTGACTCACAACCCAAAGCAGACAGAGGGCTGCAGCAAACTCTTTTGCTTCTCTGTCCCCCGTGGGGCGCTGCCCCTCAGAAAGACGGGGTTGGTTCCTGGCTTCGAAGTCCTCCATCTTCTTGGGTGCCTTGCCAGCAGGCTAAGGGGCACAGTGGACAGCATCTGCTCCAGGCTGACTCAGCCAGGGTCCCTTCTGCCCAGGTTGGAGAAAGTGGGCAGAAGCAGGCAGATTAGCCACCCAGCAGGCTGGCTTCTAACAATGTCCTCTTTCCCTCTTGGGCAGGGACCTGAACACTTTGTTTCACCGTGCTAGGGACTTGGCTTTACCCAGTCCCAAGTTCCCTGTTGAAGTGCCATGCTCAGGCACTGTGTACACAGTGGGAACCTAAACAAACAACCTGGTGTATGGAAAGGCAAAAGACATTAAACCAAAATCCAAATAAAGCATCCCTCCATGGAATTCAATGGAAACCCCACCCACCACTACCCCCTCTCTATGTGAGCCTGAGCCCCTCGGGCCCCCAAACAACTTCTAAAATAAACCCCAAACCAAACGCCTGATATATAACCTCCAACCAATAATGCTTTCCCAAACATGCAAAAGGAACTGCCTACCCGGAATTCCTCAAGCAATCTCTAGATTAGGAGGAGCCTGGCATCCTTCAGGTCAACTCCCACACTGTCCTCCATGTGCCCTGAGGAAGGCTGGCTCTCCTTGCCAGGCCAAGTCAACACAGCAAGAAGAGACAGTCCTTGTTGGCACCTGGGAACTCTTAACCCAAACATAGGCTGTGGCCTGGCCCCAGAAAGGGCTGAGCTCTTTGGAGACACTGCCAAGCCCCAGAGCAAGTGGTTTTCCAGGACACCCACCAGTGGTCGGTGGTGGACTAGAAACCAACACAATCTCCAACACATCATTAGGGCAATGCAAGGATGACTTCCAGAGGCAAGAAGCCGGCCACTGAAGTGGCTGAGCAGGGCAGGACCCGGGACACCTCATGACATCTTTTCCAGATCTGCAGCAAGGCACAGTTAGGCTTTTCCACATGGCCTGTGCTAAATGGCGTACGGTCCATCAGCATGCAGTGTGCACTCGGGGGTCCTGGGCCCAGGATATTCCTGCTGTTCCCTTTCTCCTACTAAAGTGTGCACGCCCATCACACCCTCCCTTCCAGCTGGAGGGTGTATTGGGGGGTCACATGTTCTTCAGGGTTCAATGTTGTCATCCCCCTCCCCCCTCCCAGTTTTGTCCCTTCCCCGTGTCTATCGCGCCACCATTCATCCAGTGGCAGCCAAAGCAGCACATCGAGTCTGGAAGGACCCCGTGCTGTTAGTTCTTCTTCTCAAGGTAGTTGGAGGGTACCCAGCCCTTGAAGGGCTTCACCTCATCCAGGATCTGGCAGTACCACCAGCCATTGGGATTCCTCTCTAGCACCTCCATGGACACCCCCTCCTGGAAGCCAGCTGTCTCTTCATCCCCCTCATAGTCCGCAATAGAGATGTACACATCCTTGAGGTTGTTGTGGATGAACTGGGACTTCTCTATGGGCTTAGGACGCACAGGAGAGACAGGGATGCCGTTGCGTTGGGTAGGCAGTAGGGGTGATTCTGAGCCCTGGCTGGCAGCCCGCTCTGCCAGGCGGCCTTTGGCCTCCGCGGCTGCTGACCGCGCAGTGCTAAAGGAGGAGTTCCTGCGGACACCTCTAAGGCCGTCAGTGGCCGTTAGCGACTCGTTCCTCCGAAGGGCACAGGACAGGTTGTTGTCCTTGGGTGGTGGAGACACAAACACAGACTGGGGCCTGACGGCCACTTGCCGGACACCGTTCCTCATCTTCACTGCTACAGTGCCCGAGGTCTTGCTGAAGCCCCCGGGGGGCTTAGAGGGGATGGGTGGGGTGGCCCTCTTGCTCTGGTTCACAGTGTTAAGTGCCTGCACGCGCTTCTCAATCTTTTCCAGGCTGTCCGACTTGCCTTCGTTCTGGGAGCTCTTTACTGTGTCTGGCTCTTTGCTAGCCGTGTCAGGTTGCTGGTTCTCCTCGGGCACCAAATAGTGGGAAGGAGCCCAACCTTCCAGCTCCCCAAACCTCACATACCACCACCCGCTTTCCACCTTCTCCAGCACATGCACCTCAGCGCCTGCGGGGAAGCTGATCTCAGAGTCCTGGACCTTCTGATAGGCGCTGCATGTCACATAGGTGATGCCTCGCCCTTCCCATTCCTTCTTGGGGACACATGGGGGAGTGGTGGTTGGGAGAGGAATGATATCTGCAGAACCTCTCCTGGACCCCTCAGAAGCTGTCTGGGGGGGCAGCTCTGAGTCCTCACTCCTAGAGCCCTTGAGGCCCCCCCGGAGCTGGCCTGTGGGCCTCAGCTGGCGCCGTAAGGAGCTAATGTCCATCTTCTCCTGGCTTTGAGACTCGGCTCGGTTCAGGACTGGCTTTGGTCGGACAGATGGCTTGGCTCGGGCACAGGAAGCCAGCCCGGCCTTCACATCAGGATCTTTCTTGGTCCCGACCTTGGGGGTGTCACGGATGCCTGCATCTGAGGCAGAACGTGGCTTCAGGTCACCATTGTTCTTGGATAAGGAGGAAGAGGAGGAGGAGGAAGAGCAGGTGGTGCTAATGGTGACGGAGGAGGAGAAGGAGGTGTTGGACTGGTTTTTCCCCAGCTCTGCCTGGGCATTCTTCTCTGCCTTGAGCTTTAGGAGTGATGAGGATTTGGGAGAATCTGATTTAGGGGAGTTTTTCATGGCAAGGGACAAAGACGAGCTTCCAGGGGAGTCACTGTCCCCAGAGGAGCCTCTGGCAGACAGGGTATCTTCTGTGTATGGCCTGAAGCCCTCATTCTCATAGATGGTCTCTTCTTCCAGGGCCACATCCTCAGAAGACTCACCCACCTTGAAATGGGCCCGTTGCAGGGAAGAGGCCGGTGAGGCCCGTCGGGGCTGGGCAGGACACTTATCACCTGAGCCTCTGTCCTCTGTGGGCTCTTCAGTCAGCTCAGGCTCTGAGTCAAACCCAAAGGCAGGGATGTCATACTCGGGTTCCTCATACTTAAACTTCAGCGGGGAGCCCTGGCCCTCACAGGCACCCACAGGATTCTCCTCGGTCTCCTTAGGCTTGCTGGGGGGTGCGGGGGGAGGCACCTTGGGCCGGGTCAGAGTGCTGGTTCGGCGGCTGAGGTTGGGCTTCTTGCGCTTATCGATGTATGAGGCTGGGGCCCAGCCCTCCTTCTCCCCGATCTGCACGTACCACCAACCACCTGAGTTCTTGTCGATGACCTGGGGGGCAGAGGGGCAGGCCAGTGAATCGCAGGGGTCTCTGGGTCCCTACGATGTTCCAGCCTGTTTTACAGACACAGCAAACTGAGCCCTTCAATAAGTGGCCCCAGACCTATGGCGGTCAGTGGATGGCTAGATTCAAACCCTGGTCCTGGTTGTGAGGCTCCCATTCTCTTGGCTCCCTAAGTCTGTCCCACTCGGTAGAGTGGGTTTCTTCTGTAGACCTCCATGACACCCCCCCAAGTCTACCACATTGTCCCTAGCTCCTAATAAAAACTAACCCTGGGAGGATGCATATATGTATAAAGAACCAGTGTTCTATTGTTCTGGTCCTCTACCCATGCTGACTACTCCTTGAAGGGGTCTCTCAGGTGAGAAAAGGGGAAGAGTCAGACAAATCAAACTGAGGTACAGGCCAGAGACCAGATTGTCCCACAGAAAATCCTCCCAGTGGCCACAAATACTCCTTAGGTAAGAGATTTCTTGGGTCAGTATACAAGATCGGTCTCCATGTGCATGAGCATGCGTGCACGTGTGCACATGTATGTGTGTGTGCATGTATTATCCCCTCCCAAATGAACCATTCCCGATGACGCAAACTGCTGTCACGTGCCCTCGTCAGCACTTCATTTCGAGGCTCTTCGTGCTCGGCCCTGCCTATGTTTCAGGAGATGCCATTATGGGACAAGCAAGTGAGGGGCAGAAACCCAAGCCCTGGATTGTGGCCCTGACTAGGCGAGTTCTCATGGCCGGGAGGATTGTTTCCGTTACCCTGCCTGACCCTCAGAAACCTTGTCATATTATAAAATATGAAACACAGGTTCTTGGCCTGAAGGAGGCTCACCTCTGCCTTCTGTCCGCCTCGAAAGCTGATCCCATCAGAAATGCAGGACTGGAATTCAGCAATGGTGTAGTACTCTACCTCAACAGAAGGGGGCTCTGGTGGCTTTGGCAGCTGGAACCCCTAAAGCAGAAACAAATCAGCAGTTATCACTTAGGCTCCAGGCCTTCCCCCCAGGAGGTGGCACCCAAGGTTCACATAACACTAGTTTGAGCTACTGGAGTGCTCACTATTAGAGGTTTCAATAGTTTCCTCCCAAGGTGCAAAGTTAAAAGTCAAAAGAATCATTCTAACAAAGCGAGGACACCACCATTTCGTAAGTCTAAGGGGTAGATCCTAAACCAATTGGGCAGCTTCTACAGAAGAGAGTGAGCCAGCCAACTGTCCCTAGGGCAGTAATGTATAGGGGACAGCTGGTTGGGGAGGAGTCTTTGGGAGGGGGTCAGCATGTTGCTACCCTGAACAGAACGCCATTTCAGTAGGCAGGCAGAATATCCCGGGGCTCCTATGTGCCTTTTGATGCTGGCACACAACTTTTCTCCAAGTGCCATTCTAGTACACTTAGAACAACTGGCCTAGGATCTGTGAACTGCATTTTGTTTTCTTAAACAGCCATTTGCTGTGCTCTGGGTGCTGCTCTGAGGCAGCCTGTGTTAGTCACATGGACAGTCAGCCTGGTGGGATGTAGTCTGGACTTTGTCGTCTTATGTTTGTCCTTCTTATACGAAGGGGTCAACACCAAGCAACTGGAAAAGCAAGTGGGGGGGCAGCTGTGGTATGGGAGGAAGATCTAAGACTCAAGTGTTCTGAGCCTCAGTTTCCTCTTCTGGAAAACAGAAGACAGGTCGTGAAGATGATAGCTGAGATATATAATACATTCTGATCCCGGGGGAGGGGGAGTCTGGGAACCGCTGAACAAAGCCAGAGGTCAATACCTCAGGAACCCTGTCTCTTTCTTTAACCTTAAAGACTCAGCTTTCTCTGTCTTCTAGTCAAAGCCGAGCTGTTTGGATCACTCCGATTAAGGGATGGAAGAAAGATGGTTTAGGGGTGGGTATGTGTGAATCAGTCTTCTTTCCCTGCTCCTGTGCCTGGATGTACAGCCACACGTGGAAGCTGGCACAGCTAGCCGCGCTTCCTCCCCTCCTGTACCCTGACAGGGTGGGATTCAGCTGAGTCTAACTGGAACCAGCATCCCTGCCTCGGCGAGCTTGCGTTTGTTAAGTGTGGAAGGAATGACTCTGTTCTTGCCAAAGTCAAGTCTGCCTGAAAATAATTAGCTGGGGCTCAAAGAAAGGGGAGAAATGAGAATTCATTGTTCAGTTGCAAAAGACCAGGCAAAAAGGAGAGATAGAAATTTCCCTGGGACTAGGTCACAAAATACTCATGGCCAGAGGCCACATCTTCTGATATATGGTGGTCCCCAACTACCATGGATGGGCAAATGCCATTGGAGTAAGATGCAGTGAACAGGATTTAGGGATTTGTCCCATGTAGAGTACTGGATAACACCACCTAATATCCAGGAGTTCACACAGGAAAGGGAAACCTGCCTTCCAGTCCTAAAAATGAACCACCGTATCCCATCCCACCCTCAAAGCAGACCCAGGAGGTGGCCAGTACTCGTCTTACCTATTGGAGAAGAAAGCTGAGAACTTTGGAGGGGAGGGGACTTACAGAGGGTCTTTCTTTGTTCCTGCGTCAGAAATGGAATCTATACCAAGCTCCAATATCCCCTTCCAGGGGTGCTAGGGATGGCACCCCCAAGGCCTCGTGCATGGTAAGCGAGCACTCCACTACTGGCTATGTGCTAGCCCTGAAGCTTGTCTTCCGACTGCATCACACTGCCCTCTGCCCCACTCCCCTATCTTATAACAGGCCTTCAGCTTGTCACCAATATTGGTGTTCCCCAAGTCCCCCAAGCTCCCTACCTGAGAGGGTAGTTACCAGTCACCCATTCAAGAGCCAGGGACCTCAGCAGTGTCACGAGCCAGGTCTTGCCAGTCACTCTCCTTCCTGGTGGGTAAGCACTAGTCTACCCTTTACCCTCTGGGCTGTGGAGCCTACAACATTCACTGGGCAATCCTGAGAAAGCTGGAAGGCTTCTGGGCCAGTGTAGCCAGAAGCCCCATTTCTAGGCACTGGCAATGCCCCACTGGACAGTCCTGCTGGCCAGTCTAAATGTTTATGTCTGCCAGTGTAGTGGCTGGGATGGATTTATTTAGCCTTGGAGTGCTGTGTTTTTCTGATTATAAACTGTCTAGCTATGCTCCAGGGAGCCCTGGGATCTGCAGACTTATGCGCCTTATGCTACAAAGATGGAAACCCCAACAGGGCCCTACAAACTCCTGGGTCACGGGCTCTGCTTCCCAGGCAGCAGTGAGGGTTCTGGGAGTAATCCCAGAGAATGAATGGAGACAGTCACATACCAGGCTGGATTCTCTGCGCGGGGGTGGTCTTGTCCTCAGGTTTGGGGAGCCTAAAAGAAGAGCCACAGTTTTAAGAATCCTAGTCGACAGCAGTACCTACCTACTGTGGCCCTCCCTGGGCATGATCCACTCAGATCCTTGAAACTTGATGCCTTGATCCCGTAGTGTTGAAAGACCCTGTGTTCTAAGTCCCCAGGAGTGAAGAGACCTTTAAGCCATTTTGTGGGTGGAAGGATCCACCACCCCTAAGATGATCTGTACACAAGTCTACAGATAAGCGCAGGGAGTTGTCAAGGTAAAGGCCGCATGGATTTGTCAGATTTTCAGTAGAAGCAGGAGCTGCATCTATTTTTTGCTCACAAGTCCTAAGTCATCTGAAGGGAGCACAAGGCAGGACAAAAGTCTCCCCCCCCCAAAAAGATTTATCCAAGCACCAGAGAGCTAACAATAAAGAGCTAAATATTTAAAAAACAAAACAAAAAACTGGCCCCACACCCCATAATACCAAAGGTGTTGCTAGGCCACAGGTGTGTGCAGAGGTGCACAGGCTTTAGTAACAGACTGTGTCGCAGCTGGGGGACGGGCACATGTGTGCCACAGCGTTAGGAAGCCAGCTCTCTCCTCTCACTGGAGACCTATTCAGGTGAGGCTTGGGTGGTAAGCACCTTTGCACATCAGGTGTTCTTGTCAGCCTCTTCCACATCTTAGACTCTACAAGGCAAGCCTGCACAGAGGACCACAGACTCGGAACCCCTGAGTTTGTAAAACCAGCTGTACGCCAATCACCTAGATTTCTAAAGCTTTTTCTGAAGAGAAAAGATGCCACTTCTTGCTCTTGAGGTTTGTCCCTCTGGTAAAGAGCCATGCCTGGTTTTTCTTAGGGAGAGGGAGGCCAGCAGCCTGCTCCCTCCTGTAATACATTTTCAGAGCAGCGGCTTGCAGGGACACAGTCACTCCTTGGGCCTCTTCACTCTTGTGACCATCAAGGGCATGGTGACAGAACCCAGATTGTCACTCAGGGTGAAAAAGTTATGGAGGTCCCAGGTAGCTCCTGAATTCCGCTCACCCATGTCCACCCACGCTGTAGCACTTTGGGGGGAACTGGGCCCTTCAGGAGCTTACTGATCTGGGCCCTCTGAGGGGCAATCCTGGCCACGGCTGGGGAGCCCTGGGCCAGCTTGGATGTGGTCCTCTCAGGAATGCCCAGGGCACTCCCGTTGGAGGCGTTGCAGAGGATGGGTAAGCTGATCTCCTTCTTGGTGATGGGGGCCTCGGATCCCTCGCCTTCAGCCGGAGCCTCCTTATCCCCAGATGCCTTCTTGTTGAGCAGGTTGCTGATCTCCATGATGTTTCCTATGATCTCCACAGGACCTGCCAGGTTCTTCTTCCGGGTCGGCAGGTCATCCTTGGCCTTTTTCAGATAGGATGCTGGTGCCCAGCCCTCTTTGCCTAGGTATCTGTGAGAGGAAGGAACACACCATCATTAAAGCCCTCATTTTTGGTTTCCCCTTTTACTCCCAGGCCTCAGTCTCCATCTGAGCTTGCCTAGCTGAACCTTCTCTCTAATGCTCTGCCAGAGGTTCAGCAGTTCTGCTGTTGCCGAGGAAACCAGAGGGGGGGGAGGTCAAGGGGGAAGATACTGGAAACTGAACTACTGCTCTCAGACAAACACAGGACTTAGGGTTCTTGTAAACGTTGTTCTACCCAATCGGCAGACCTCATGATGGCCCAAGGGTAATTCTAGAGAAAAGTTACGAATGGTTGTCGCATGACCAGCCACATCCTTGTAGAAACGGAAGTGTGACCAAAGAGGAAAGAGGCAAGCACAGGTGACAGTCTTTGTTGTGTGGTCTTGTCCAACTTTCTTCTGTAAGATACGGGGTACGTGGCTGCTAAAATGGAGCCAGAAGGCTAGACACAGAAGGACTTGAGACCAAAGGAGGTCGTGAGATGGTTGAGCATGGTGGCACATGCCTAAAATCCCAGCAGGCAGAAGCCTGAGGCAGGAGGATTAGAAGTTCTAGACCAGATCTGGAGACCAACTACTTTGGGATTGGATTTGAGGCCTGCGCAATAGAAGGAGTTCAGGCCTGGTGCTGTAACCTGCTCACAAGCCCAGGGGGACCTACAACTGCTGTCTCACTGAATCAGTGATTCTTAACCTTCCTTAATGCTGTGACCCCTTAATACAGTTCCTCAGGCTGTGGTGACCCACACCCATAAAACTGTTTCTGTTGCTACTTCATAACTGGAATTTTGCTACTGTTATGAATTATCTGAAATGTCTGATTTTTCTGATGGTCTTAGGTGACCCCCGGGAAAGGGTCATTTGACCCCCAAAGAGTCGAACCCCACAAATTGAGAACCACTGTGCTAAACGGACAAGACTGTGTCCTTCTAAATATTTATTTTTATATACATAAATTGGTGCTAACTTCAACCTCGGCCAGAAAGGCTTCTCTCTGTGGTGGTCAGCACTTAGTGCAGAGACTGGTTTCAACCATCTTCCTGCTAAGAATAATTGACTACTGAATGTTCTACTATAAATGAGATATCTGTATCACCCCCTTCCACAAAAGGCTCTCAGGGGAACATCACAAAAGAGGGGGTGGAGAAACTGTAAGAGCCATCGGGCTGGGCAGTATGGCGGGGAAACGCTGTTTCCTGAACACAACAAAGGCTACTGCCCCCAAGAACTCACAGTAGCTAGTTACCTGTATAAGATCAGGCCAACAAGATCAATAAACACCACAGCACTAATTGAGCCCAGCAGGAGGGAGAGAACATGAAGGAGGAAGAGGAAGTGCTAGGGGTGCCTGCAGAGGGGGGGGGGATAGAGAGGGAAAGCTTTAGGTTGGCCTGACTAAAGGGTATGTCTCTATCTCAAGAAAGAACAGAGGTAGGGTTCAAGCCTTGGCACCCCACGAGCAAGCATAGAGGCTCATATGTGTGATCCCAGCACTCTGGAGGTGGAGGCAGGGGATCAGAAGTTCAGGGCCATTCTCAGTTACACTGGCTAGTCTGGATTCAAGAGACCTTGTGTCAAACAAGGCAACATTAAAAAAAATAGAGAGAGAGTGGGGTGGAGGGGGTGGCCACTGCCTAATGGGAGAGTGTCTGAGTGCTGCTGGACAGACCTGCTGACAGGTCAAGTTCACAGGGTGAGTCCACACATGTAACCTTTTAATGTTGTGGCTTTAAAAAGTATTTGATAGGTGAGTTGAGGACAGTTAGGATAAAGGATATCTGGCCTTTCATCATACAATAAGAAGAAGGAACAAAGAAAGAGCCAGGTGCAGTGGGCTCATGTCTATACTTATCATTTGGGAGGCTGAGGCAGGAGGATTGCCTTAAGTCATACCAGCTTAGGTTACACAGGGAGTACCAGGCCAACTGGGACTATATACAAAACTTTATATTAAAAAAAAAAAAAGACAAATCATGGGCTAGAGAGATGGCTCAGTGGTTAAGAGTACTGAATGCTTTTCCAGAGGTCCTGAGTTCAATTCCCATCAACCACATGGTGGCTTACAAACATCTGTAATGGGATCTGGTGCCCTCTTCTGGTGTGTCTGAAGAGAGTGACAGTGTACTCATATACATAAAATAAATAAATCTTTAAAAAGAAAAGTCATATAATAATCTTGAGGGTTGGAAAAGTCTTTTTCTCTGTGTAGCCCTGGCTGTCGTGGGACTTGCTCTGTAGAGCAGATTGGACTTGAACTCACAGAGACCCACCTCCCTTTGCCTTTGCCTCCTGAGTGCTGGAATTATGGCATGTGCCACTACTGCACGTGGAAAAAGCCTGTCTAACTGGGGCTACAAATACAAAAGCATAAACACAGATGAAAGCACATGACTCGATAAAATTCAGACCATTGTTATGGCCAAACCAAACCAAAAGCTCATAAACCAAGGCTAAAGGCAGATGACAGGGATGACTTAATTTTTGGTGATTCCTTGAGTGTTTAAATCCCCTCTCTTCCCCCACATGGTATTGAGCCTTCACCCAAAGCGGCAGGGAGCATGCTTCTGGGCCAGCACTGGCTGCCAGTGCTTCCGACTCTAGGTCACCATGTCCCCATCTGCTCCCTGGGACACAGCTGGCTCTTTAGAAATGGCTCTCACAGATGTCTGACTGCCCCCTACTGCCCTTCCCGATGGGCCCTTGATCTTGGGCGTGTGTTAGGTAGGAGAAAGGTGCACAGAGGTCCAGATAGGAGGTGGCTCCTCATAGCCATGTCACTGGGAGGTACACGCAGGTATCTTGGAAGGCAGACATTACCGAACTGAGGCTGCCTCCTGGATGTGACAGGTGACGCATAGAATGTCAAGGGTGGAGAGGAACAGTTAGAAAATGTGTCTGACCTTTCTATGGCAGTAGCTAAGTCTCAGAAAGGCAAGGCAGTTATCAGAGGGCCCGAGAGAGAAGATGCTACGCCAGGCCCAGAGCCTGGGGTTCTTGAAGCTCTGAAAAAGACCTTGCTGGTATCTTGTTATGTGACAGAGGCAGAGGAAATGAGTTGGGACTGAAAGGTGATAGTCAGGCGCACATACAGCCTGGGGTGTCCCGTTTCACGGCCCTCTGTGTTCCACAGGCTGCCTGGATAAAGCTATGTCCCAGGCTTTGTGTTACAGGATACAGCAGCAGAGCGATGCACACGTCAGGGGTGGCTGTGTGTCTGGGCACAACTTCCTCACAGCTGTTTCCCAGCTCTGTAGTAGGACTGACTCCAGAGAGCCGCACAGGCTGCAGAGGGAATGTGTAGGAGTGGAGTGTGTGAGTGAGTGTGTGTGAGTGTGTGTGTGTGTGTGTGTGTGTGTGTGTGTGTGTGTGTTAGGCCGGGGGAGGAAAAGAAAGACAGGAAATGAGGATCAACACACAGCTTGGAATGTTGGGAAATGGCAATGTTTTAAGGAGGTTTCTGGCAGGCTTTTTAAGGTAGAACGGGATCACCAGGGTCCTTTTCAATTGAAATCTCCACTGGCTAAAAAGGACCAAGCTATAGGGACAGTAGCTGACTAGAAGTAGCCCAGATTGACAGTATTTGTTATCTTAAACCAAACAGACAGACAGACAGACAGACAGACAGACAGACAGACAGACAACCCTAAAATATAAAAGGCAGCTGTTGTGATCACTCCTAGGCAAACACACGCAGACCACCAGCCAGCTGGGAGATCTATCTGCAGGCCTTCCCCATCAGGCTTATGGCTGATGGATTTGCAGTTGGTTCCAGCTTCCATTGCTTAGAGAACACAGAAGACCAGGGTTGGTTGTAAGTACAGGGTCCCATCCCACATGACAGGATAGAAAGGTACATCCAAAGGTGATGGGGACTAAGGCTCAGTTATCTGCGTCCTCCCTTGCAGCACAGACTGACCTTTAAGACCACCAGACTCTGCTGTGCTGCTAGCCACTGTTGCATGAGAAACTCACACTGATGGATCACAGGGTGCTATGGCACTGGCCTTTGGAAAGGGATCACAGTGAGTCTGAGGCAGCTGTCCCCCTAGCTCACACAGGGGACTGTTTCTGTTAGCTGGATTGCAAGCAGAGGAGAGAGAAGCTGAGCAAAATCCCCACAGCTGAATTGCTCCAAAGGAACTTTCTGACCACAAATCCACTTAAGGCAGGCCTAGGGTTGGTAATGGCAGAATGAGACCCACAGAGTTTCGCCTGCAACACTACTCTAGATACACGCCCAAATGGGTCTCTCAGCTGAGAAAAGTGAGGCTCCAGGAGAGACAGTGAGAGAAAGGAGAGATCTCACTTGGAGCCCAGCCTTGTATCCAGCCCTGTAGAGTGCAATGGCCTCCGCCCACCAGGAACATGGACGCCAAAGATCTGTGTCTGGAGCCTTGACTGTTGGTGAACCACAGAGGCAGCCAGGCTGGGTCTTGGCAGGGCCTGTGGAGGCTGGTGTTTCAGGTTGTCTCAGCTGAGGAACAGGCCAGGCAGCCAAGGTAGATGCAGAAAACAAACTTCAGTTGTGTTGAACTCTTGGCTGTGCATGGGACAGGGATTGCACCATTGCCTGTGAGCTGAGCCAGCTCCTATGCCCTACTGGCTGGGGCTCAGCCTCTGCTTTCAGGTCCTAGGAGACGACCAGTGAGCTGAGCAGACTTGGCACACGGTTGTCTTTGGTATCTACCTGCCTGTTGGTTACTCTGCACTGAGCTGTTTGCCCAGGAGCCAGGCTCCTACCTGATGTACCACCAGCCCTCCAGGTTCTTCCGGATCACCTCCACGGTGACGCCCTTCTCGAAGCCGATCTCGTCTTTGCTTTGGCTGGTGTAGGGCTGCACGGTGACATACTTCTCTTCTGTGAGTGGGCGGGTGAGAGCACAGTTAGTTTGAGGCTGTGGTGCAGATCCTGTCTCCCGTTCCCCTCTGCCCCGGCTGAGCCTTGCTCAGCTGCGTACTAACATGCCCCAGGGCCAGCACTGGCTTCTCCGGAGAAGAGGAAGCAGGACTCAGAGAGCAGGAGAGGGGTCACTGGGTTAGGGGGTCACTGCTGTTCCCAGGATAAGCCAAAGCTAGGCAGGATTCCAGGGTGCCAGCGAAGCCTCAGGCAGCATGAAAGCAGGTCCTCCAGACAGGGTGCTGGGGTCTCAGAGTTTGGAGGAATCTGCTTCTCCTAGGCTCTAAGTCAAGAGAGTGAGACCAATGCTAGGTGTCTCCAATGCTCTGGCAACCCCAGCCTGTCTCCCCTCAGAACATGTCATGTCCCATCCACCTCTGATACTCTGCATTCCAGCCCTGTAAACCTCTTAAATTCTCTCAGTCTGACTTCCAGACTAAGGCTCTGAGGAACACCTTCACTGAGTGGCTCATCCCCGGTACAGCAGATTACAGCATTTACCCTAGAGTGTTCCATGGAGCCAGTTCTACAGTAGTGCTTGTGGGGGTTGTCATGGTGTGTGTGTGACTGCGGCGCTGCTGAGGTAGGAAGGTGTCAAGGGTCCCACCACCTGCCCCTCCAGCAGAGCCGCATGATCTATTCTTCCTGTGTGCCTTTGGGTCATCCCCAAGTTTCCCCATAGCACCGGAGTCTTCTTGGAAAGAGCTTGATGGGAAGGCTGAGCACCAGGCAGCCCTGGGCATCCCTAAAGGCCTTTGTTCAGGCTCCCATGTCTGCTGAGGACTTCTGTCCTCGTGAAGCCCTCTAGTAGACCTGCAACTGACTGGCCGAGGCCACCCACCTCTTGTAAGACTGTTCATTGGATGGCCTGGGGCCCAAGTAAGAGCATGCTACACTCACTCCCATTGGAAGAAGTGGTTATCTGGAGGTGCTCTTGGACTGTGCTGGATGCTTCCTGGAGGTTACAATGGTACCCAGTAGGGACTGTTACAGTAGAGTCCTGTGCTCTAGCCATGAGGAGGAAAGTAGGGATGAGCAGGGACTGAGGGAGGCGCTTGCTTGGGAGCTTAAAATAGGAGTCTGGTCTCAAAGGCGCCCGCTGCTCCTGCCTCCCAGCTGGACCTTGTTGGGCAGCCTGCCTCAACCTCTAGGTGGCTGTGGGGGGCTAGGAGAGAGCTACCACACCAACGCCCTGTTGTGGGAAGGTTCCTTCTCCCCTGCATTATTGGGGTACTGTCTATAGCCCTCTGCTGGGCCAATAGCATCTGCCTCTGACAGAGGCAACTATACTGCCAGGTTGCAGGATGGACCTGATGGACCACAGGCCATGCTTGAAAAACTGCCCAAAAAGCAAAAGGTGGGTGAGGGCACAGGCTCTCCTTCTGACTCTTACCACGGGCTTTTCTCAGCATCATCTAAGGAGGGCTCTGTTCGGAGCCTGCAGATTCCATCCCAGCCCTGCCCAGAAGTGCTGCCAGCACTGCCTGAGAACCTGCCCAGCCAGATTCTGACTAGGGCCCTGGAGAAGTTCCATGGGCTCCAGGCCAACCCTCTGCTCTCCTGCCTGCTCCATTTTCCAGTGGGGCACGGTAAACCCTGGCCTAGGCAGTGGTTATAGGGACAGCGCCAGGTCTGGAAATCCAGAGTCTGAGGTCCAGGCGAGGCGAGGCCTGGGCTCCACATTTTGCCTTTGTTCGACCAGGCTATTTTTAAAAGCCTGTGGTTCGAGCAGGAAGCTCTCAGGAAAGTTTTCCTAGGCAAGGTTGCTTTTGAAGAGAAAAATGACAGCCCTTCCTAGGGGAAGATTAGAGGATCCCTGTCCTGCTCCAGGGCTGAGAACAGGGCCTTGACCATGTGTTCAGCCTCTCGGATGCCAAGCGTGGCCACAGCAGCCTTTTAAGTGTGTGTGGTGGACAGAGTCCATGGCCAGCCACTTGGGGCAGGGTAAACAACCATGTATATTGGTTCTGGCTAGTGAGACTGGTTGCAAAAGACCCCATACTTGAGGCACCAGGCATGGCATGGTCTCCCGGTTAAAATGTTGGTCAGCACAGACACTCATTCGACCCTGATTACTGCGTATTCCAGAGAAGAGCTCAGTCCTGGTTCCTAACAGGGCAAGACAGAACACCTCTCCCTGACTGTCTCTTTGGACTGGTGGTTTTCAGCTCTGGCTGAGGAGAGAGATGTCTACCTCAGGTTGACACAGGTGACTTGGGTCTTGGGCCATTCATCTTACAAGTGAGCTGTCCCCCTTACAGAGACCACTTCTGGTCTTGGCCATAGACTCTTTGGTCAAGGGGAATGTTTAGAGAAGAGAATGTCCAGACACGTAAAACGGTCTCTATAGGTAGCTGAATCTGCAGTTGGGTTGGATCTCTGGAAGAGATGCCCCTTTAAGAGACAGGTCTGAGGGAAAGTGAGGGAGCCAGGGTCTGGTCAGGGCTCCTGGGTTCTGTGATCGTACCATGCAGAGATGATGGCATGCTTACCCTGGTGAATGAAGGCTGGCCAGGAGGCCGGCGGGTGGCTAGGCTGGGGGAGGTGGACAGCCTGTCCCAGTTTGGGAGGCAGGGGCTGGAAGCCCTGCAGTTTCCAAACCGCAGAGGCCTCCTCTTTCCAAACACTTTCCCCTCTGTCAGCAGTCTCTTTGCTCCCTTCCCGGCCCCTCCAACTCCTCCAACCCCTCCATAGAGAGGCCTCCGATTCCAAAGGCCTGGCCAGTCCTGAGGGATAGGGACCAGAGGACCCAGAAGCGCTGACTTTTCTTTTACTCATGGCCCCCTGTTGGGTTTCCAGCTGCTGCTGGCCTGTCGGCCAGTTCTCTGTGAGCCCTCTTTGGCTGCCTGACTTAATTGAATACAGTTCATAAGGCAAGGGCTGGGAAGAGGAAGTGTGTGATAATAATGAACATGAAGGTGTGGCTTGACTTTGCTCAAAAACAGGTGACTGCAGAATTATGATTACTTAGGGATCTACATGTACTGTTTTGTCTGAATTTACCATGTCTTCATGGTATGAGGGGTCATGCATATGTGTCGACTGTAGGCACCGCTGAGGTTATATGCTGATGTGTCTGTCTGGGAGACTTAGTTGTACTCGAAATCCATCTGTGACTACAGGACTCAGCTATGTGTAGCAGGGCTTGTTTGGTGGCACTCCTGGAATCACTGTCTCTGAGTGGCGCACCGCTGGGGTGGTGGCTGGGCAGAGCTGTGGAGCAGTGCTAGCCACACCTGTAGCCTTCAGGCCTTGTGTGGGCCTGTCTCTGAGTGCATCTGTGTGGTCATGCAGGCAACAGCATGCCTGGGACTCAAGTGATGGGACGCAGAAGAGGCCAAACCTTTGTCCTCCTTGTGGGATTCTGGGTCCGCATTCTATTTGTCTTTGCCACTAGAGTTGGAGGTTGTGTCCGACCCTAGCCTCTTGGCAGAGTGGTCCCCTACTGCCTCATTTTAGGGTGGCCTTTGCTGTCAAGGTGGCCTGTTGCTGCTTCTCCAACTCAGGCCCCCTGTATCAGCCCCCAGAGTCCACACTAGGCCCTGCCTCTGCACGAGCTGGGTTCTTTATGGCCAGCACTCTGAGTCAGCCATTGGCTGTGGTCACCCTGGAATACAGACGTTCTGTAGCCTGATTCTTGGGGTAGGCACTGAAATACACTGTCATTTGGGAACGAGCTTTGGGGTGGGGGTGGTGAGTCACAGGCAGCCCTGTTCTCCAGAGAGGCCTGCGTTCACTATATGCCCGTCTCAGCTACTAGCTGTACTGTTACCACCAGGAACACACACTCTGCTCTACTCTCTGGGGGGGCCAGGAGAGACTGACCACCCAGCATGAAGGGTCTGTACATGTTTAGGGGTGCATCCAGACGCTATCCCTCCTGTCCCTCCCCTCCTTCCACAAGTTCCTGGATGTTGGGAAGGAACTGAGCCAAACAATCCTGACTCAGCAAAAGTTAGCTTCCCAGTCAGCCCAGGCGGCCCTGGAACCCTTGACTGAGCTCCTCCGGAGCGCCTATGGGCCAGTGCTTGGGCTGAAGGATGGTCCTTCATCAGTGTTGGCTGGAAAACGCTCTGGTGCCACCGATAGGTTTGGATTCTGTGCCCTTCTAGGTTCTAGCAAGTGGAGCTGCTGAAGAAAGGCTGTGGGCTGGCACAGCAGCTGATGATAGAGCAGTGCCGAGGGACTCTTTCTTAGTGGGAGGTGTAATAAAGGACAGAAGAAGGGAACCCTGGCAGGAGCAGGAAGCTTTGATCTCTCTAACACGCAGGACCCAGGGCAGGGATGGTTGTCCTTTGAGACCCAGGGACTTTTCTCATGCTTTCCTTTGAGACCCAGGGACTTTTCTCACGCCTCTCTTCCCTTCCAAAGAACATAGAGACTCATCGTAAGTTGCATATGCCCAGGGCACTAGCAAGCCAAAGCTACCCCTAGTGCCACATCGATTTCCAAGCAAGGCCCTGTCCCCAGTCTGAGCTGCAGTGAATGAGAAACAAATCTTGCCAGATCTGGGTGAGTCAGAAGACCACAGGCAGAGAGCAGAGCAGGCAAAGGAGAGAGTGTTAGTGAGAGACAGGCAGCTGCAGGAGGAGAGGCAGGCGCCCGTGGTCACCTCGGCTGTGCTGCCTGTTGACCATCCCGCCCAGGGTCCACCGGCGATCCAGGCGCCGCAGGTGAGCTTTGCGTCTCTTGGACACTGACGTGAGAGATGGTGATGGTGCCCACGGCCCACACGAACCAAACCGGTGGAGAGAATGGAGATGAGGATGAGAGGGGGTGGGGGAGGGGAGGAGAGAGGGAGGTGTGTCTGAGTTGCTGGGTTCCTGTTGCCCAGACTGAACAGGATCTAGGAGTGGACTAAAGGATCTTAGGTCCTCCTGCTTAGAGACTGGAAGACTCAGCTGCAGCTCCCAGGGATTCTCCCTGGGTTCCGGACAGTTTCCTGTCTACTCACCAGGCATGACTGTTAACTTGCCACCATGGCAAGAAGGCACCATGTAAAGAAAGCTGGGTCAGAGCTCTCCCACTGGGTTAATTCAGATCCTATTTGTCTGCCAGGAAAGGTTTGCTGAATGAGATGCACTCAGGTAGATGCCACAGGCAAGACTCTGTTCCCTTATGCTATCCTTTTACGTGACAAAGACCACAACCCAGCTTCTCATTGGTCAAGTCTGCTTTGACTCCGCCACGCCAGCCCCATCCCTGCAGGTGAGCACCAAGTTCCCATCCAGCCTCAGCCCGGGTCTGGCTCTCCACATACTGCCTCCCTATGTGACTCCTAAAGGAATGAACACCAGACCAGGGCCAGAGTGTCAGCTTGTCTCACCTCACCAAAGGAAGACGCCAGACTGCCTAGTTCTGGGGAGGGTGGCTGGCTGGTAGAACGGGTAAAAGTAACACTGTCCACACATACGTGGGCCAAAATCCAGTAAAACCGGGAGATACCTGCTTGCCCTGTGAGGAGAGTGGCCATGCATCCTGCTCCTCCTTCCTCTTATTAAGAATTTTATTTTATTCTTTATTACATGTGTATGCATGTATGTCCACTGATGGCAGAAGAGGACATCAGATCCCCTGGAACTGGGGTTTGAGATGGTTGTGAGCTGCCGTATGGATACTGAAGGTTGAACCCAGGTCCTCTGGAAGAGCAGGCAGTGTTCTTAACCACTGAGACATCTCTTTGGTCCTGCAACTTGTTTCTTAGCAACAGGCTAGGAGTGTGGGCTCCAGCACAGACCCACTCCCAGCTCCTCTGCCACTGCCCTAGGAAGGCTCTGTAGATCTAAATACGGCCAGTGTGCTGGCACCCAGGTCTTACCTACTGGAAGCGTGCAGAGCAGCCGCATGCTTGGTGCGCACATACATTCATGCACACGACTGAACACAGATGCTGCCCTGGCTGTCCCCTAATTCCTAATCCACGACGGCCAAAGTCTTCCACGACCTGTCTTGTAGCTTCAGCAGCTGTCTTGACACAACTTAGAGTCATCTGAGGGAATTTCAATTAGGGATTGTTTCTGTAGCCATTATGGGGTATTCTCATATTCTCATATTCTCTCTCTCTCTCTCTCTCTCTCTCTCTCTCTCTCTCTCTCCCTCTCTCTCCCTCTCTCTCCCTCTCTCTCCCTCTCTCTCTCTCTCTTCCTCTCTCCCTCCTTCCCCTGCCTCTTATGGGGCATTAAAGTGCTGGGATTAAAGGCATGTGCCACCACTGCCCAGCTATGAGGCATATTCTTGACTGTTAATTGATGTAGGAGGCCCTAGTCCACTGTGGGCGGCAGCAGCCCTAGGCAGGGGTTCCTGTGCTATTTAAGAAAGCTAGCTGAGCCGGGCAGTGGTGGCGCACGCCTTTAATCCCAGCACTTGGGAGGCAGAGGCAGGCGGATTTCTGAGTTCGAGGCCAGCCTGGTCTATACAGTGTGTTCTAGGACAGCCCGGGCTATAAAGAGAAACCCTGCCCCGAAAAACCAAAAAAAAAAAAAAAAA